TAAGTATGAAGAATAATGTATGCTTCATATACATGATTTGAAATTAAACAACATACATATAAATATACTTAATTTCAATAATTAAACAACAATGTATTATGTAATTATACTTATTTCGCATACTTGAACAACAATATAGTACATACATTGTAAATTACAAACATAAATTCCCAAAAAACATCATAAACAAGTAAAATAGTTAAATTCAATACATACCTCAAATTCGATCAATGTACTACGTAAAAGTGTTGAACAAAGAAGGAGGAATAATTTTTAGTGACTATCATGAAGATCTAAGCAATGGGATGTGATGAATTTGCTTCAAATATGAAGGATTAGGCGAGCAATGAGGCGCGGGTTAGGGTTTGGAATTTGGGGGTTTTGCGTTTTGTTGAAAAACAATGAAAAAAATAACAGTATACTGCCTAAAATACCGGATACAAAAACGCCAACCAGGTTGGCGTTTTGGTACAACGGTAAAACGCCAGCCTAGTTAGCGTTTTTACCTTGGCCAAATTTTTTAAGAAAATTTTAGTCAAGGTAAAACACCAACCAGGTTGGCGTTTTTCCCTAGACTGAAATTTTTTTAAAAAAATGGCCAGGGTAAAAACGCCACCCTGGATGGCGTTTTACCCTGGAAGCTTAATTTGGTAAATAGTTTTGCCACACGTCTACTTGGTAAATAGTTTTACCCTGAAAGCTTAGTTTGGTAAATAGTTTTGCCACGCGTCTACTTTGGAAAATAGTTTCTTAACGAAACTCACTTTGGTAATTTATCCTTTGGTTTTCCCATGTACTTTTAGTACTTCCTCCTCCCATTTCTTAATTCCCATTTAATTATTCAAACGGGAACTATATTTAGGGGCGGAGGGAGTTATAAAAGCCCGCTTTACCTTTTTCTTAAAAAAAAAATTGATTTATTTTATTTTTTATACTATTTTATTTATTACTATATTTTTACTGTTATTAAATTGAATTTTTATAATCTAGTATATCATTAAATGAGTTACAATGTCTATTTTCATAATTTAATTTTTTTTTCTTACAATTTTTACCAATGAAAAATTAAAGATATTAATGGTTAAAGTTATGTCTTAATAAATGTATCGGTCAAAATGATGCAAATATAAAAAAAGCCGAAGGAAAAATTTATTAAGCAAAAAGTTTTATGTTGAGAGTGCTAGAGGTGTCAAAAACTCACGTGACCTAACTGAAAAATAATTTGATTCAAATTTCTATACCATATGAATTAAAAAATTCTAGTGAACCTCCCAAGAAGAACCTATAAACTCCCTACACTACAATATTTTGAGACTTGTACAAGTGGGAAAAATCCACAAATTGACTTCTATATATGACAAATTTTTTGAAATTTTTCGAAATTATTCTTCTTTCATTTTTTAAATTTTGTTTTTCCTTCTGGTGCGCATTGTTCTAATCTCTTTTAACTGTAAACAGCTCGTTCTGTTACTCTTATCAAAGGACTTATGCACCATATAAAGGATTTTAATCAAAGGGGTGTTTACAAACTACTGTTACGTACTAATTACTTGATTACACAAGTATGCACTTCTATATATGACGAATTTTTTGAAATTTTTCGAAATTATTCTTCTTTCATTTCTTTTTATTTTTAATTTTGTTTTTCCTTCTGTGTGCAATGCTCTAATATCTTTTAACCGTGAGCAGCTCTTTCTATAACTCTTATCAAGGACTTTTGCATCATATAAAGAAGTTTAATCAGAGGTGCATTTACAAACTACTTTTACATACTAATTTCTCGATTACACAAGTATACAAAGTGAAGACAAGTCTCTAATAGAGTTTCATTTCGAGTGAATAGGAAGCATAGTACACAAAGGGCACAAGGCCGGGGCCACAAATTGATTTAAGTATATTCTAATTTGAGTTAATAAATAGATACTCTCTCCGTTTCGTAAAAATCTCAACAATTTGATTTTTGTAAGGAGTATTATTCATATGCTTACTTTAACTATATTTTTTTTTACCAATATATAACATATGTTGCAATGTAAAATATTTTTGGATTAGTCTTTAAGTATATTTTTATTATTTTAACCTTTTATACTTCTTAATAGATATATAATTACAAATATTAATGGTTAATATTGTACATTGACATGTGTGTTGATCAAAGTGTTTTGATTAGTATAAAGAAAAGTGAGTAATATTCTAAATAGATGTGCAATTGGACATTTGTTAGCTTCATAGCCTTCATTTGGCATACACATGCAATAAAGGCAATAAACCTCTTAGTAACTTCAACTCTTGCACATACATAAAAATACACAAATAACCGGCCATTTCACCAAATGTCACCGAGTAATTTCAAAATTCACCAAATGCCATCAAGTTTTTCAAAATTCACCAAATGCCACTGAGATTTAGTACAATATCACCAAATGCCATTTCCGTTAGTTGACCGTCAGTGTCCGTTAGTTGACCCCGCCACTTGCCATGTATCACCTTCTGATTGGTCCGTTTTAAAAAAATAATAAAGAATTAAAAAAAAACCCTAAAAAAAAAAAAAAACTAAACACCACCAAATCCCCACCCACCCCTTCAACCACCAGCTAGCCCACCCAAAACCCCATTCCCCTCCCCTTTTCAATTTCCGGCCACCCCACCCAAAACCCTCTTCCCCTCCCCTTTTCGTTTCCCGCCACCCACCCACACAACCCTCACCCTCAAAATCCAGCAGCCCCCTTCCCCTCTCTTTCCTCGCACCCCCTTCGACCCTCAAAACCCGACCCCCTGCTGCCCCTGCCTCTCCCCAACCGTCTCTACCCCCTCCTTCCTCACAACAACCTCGAAACCCACCCAATTTTCCTGCTACGCAACCACCACATAACCCACCCCAAACTCCTAAAATCGACCATGAACATCCCCAGAAACCTAGTAATTTGCAGTGAGGTGGGAATTCAGCGGTTTCGACTTTCGAGGAAAGGCAAGTGGGGTTTTTTGGGTTTCATTTCGAGGGTGGGCGGGGATGTGTGGGTGCTCCTGGATTTCGACGAAGGTGGGTGGATTTCTAGGTTTCGACGGGTCACGAGTAGGTGATCCTAGGTTTCAATGGATTGGAGGTGGGTGGATTTTTGGGTTTCGAGTTTCGACAAGGGGTGGGCAAGTGGAGGTTGATGGTGAGGGAATGAGGAATGGAGGTCGACGCTGTTGTTGGTGGTTTTAGGGGGGTCACTGACTCACTGGTGGTGGGTTAAGAGGGGGCCGCCGGGGTTGGGTCTGGACTGTGGGGTAGAGGTGGTGGTAGTTGGGTGAAAGTGGTGGGGTTGGGTAGGGTGGGTGGTCGATGAAGAGGTGGTGGTGGGCTGTACATGGAAGGGGGATGGAGAGGATGGAGGTTAAGCAATCCCTTGTTAGTTGGGTGTGGTCCTACTGGTAGCCTTGTCGGGGCGTGAATATGCTCTCTTGGTAGTTAACACAGTCTCCAGTGGATGGTGTTATTTGTGCATGTGGATGGTTTTCCCTGCATTTAGAGTTTGCAGGAGGAGAGTGGTTTTGATGGAGGAGTTTTGTTTGATGTTCTTGCTGCTTGGTTGTGGGATGATATGGGCATTCATACAATTGCTATCATCCCTTTGTTAGTTTTGGTGATGACAAAGTCAGTCATCGCTGTTAATCAAAATCTTGAAGGATGCTACCCTGTCTTTAGTGCTTGGGGTAAGCAAAGTCCTCCATTTTCTTGCATTCTCTGTTGAATTGCAAGAATTGCAGGAAGGAAACCTGCATTTGAATGCATGGTTTCTCATGGTAAAGTCGTTAAAGTATATGATTCTATTGGTTTTGTTCCCAGACTCCTAGGATGCAGCTATGCTTTTCAACCCTTAAGAGCGGAATGGTGTAAAAGGTTTGTTCTTCAGCAGCAGAGTGCATTCAATTTTCCGATTTTTCCATCTCCCAACAACTTCCATCATGAATTTCCTTCGGTGTCAATGCCAATTTGGGTTTTCTTCAATGATTATGTCCTGTGCTCTTGGTCCATCTCTACTATTTCAGTTAATTTGGCATCTCTTGGTCCACAATGTATGATGTGGTACAATCCTTTTAGTTGTCCATGCTCTGCAGCTATTGGTATGCTACAAGACTTTTTAAGTATTTTGTTCTCTTCGTTCTTCCTTTAATGATAAGTAGCAAGCTCTATATGAGGGTTTGTTTAGGTGTGTTGCTTAGCTCTCTTATATTGTAATTCTGCCTTTATATATGAAGTTCTCTTGTCAAAAAAAGAAAAAAAAAAAAAACCTTCAACTCATGCACACACTTTTTTACAAGAATTTATATTCATCATTCAAGAATCAAAGTAAGCAAATCCTATAAGAATCGTCATTTGCACACACTCTTTTTATGTTAATGAAAAAAGAAAGGCACGAATTTCCAACTGCACGTCTATATATAAGATCAAATTCTAGCATCAAACTAACAATTGAGTTTTTTTTTGAAAAAAAAGCTTTTTAAGACCTAAAACTCTCTTCCAAACAACTCCTAACCGAACACTTCAAAGTGCTTTTGAAACGATCAAACAACACTTTTTTGCTCCAAATTAAAAAGCTCTTAATCAATTCAGACACTCCTCTTTAGCCTTTTGGATGTTTATAAACCAAAACAACTAATAACAAAATAGCTAGTAGCTATCTACCAAATATTTTTACATAAGTATCTAATTATGATTAACTTGTTAAAACAACTAATGCAACTAAATGCTACCTTTAGTTTTTTGTTATTATATACACTAAAACAACTAATAACTAACAACAATATACCAAACACTAGTACACAAGCAACTAATTACAATTGGCAGGCAAACGACTAGAAAATTGATTTTAGCACACTCATAATTGATTTTGGCACGCCCCTACCTGAGAAGAGCATAGAAAACTGTGCTCTCACGTTAAGGTGTGCCAAAATCAATTCCCAAACGACTAACGATTACTCAAAACAACTAACATTAGACAACAATAAGCTAATTGAAAGAAGGCCTTAAGGAATTAAGATATTGCTTTGGAAAAATGAGATTTATCGGGGTGCTACAAAATTACCAAACAAGGCCAATGGCCAATGAAGCTACGTTGTTTCTTTTTTTCCTCAACTAGAAGGTTTGCACACGAAATTAGAACTCAAGCTTTCTTATAATTTTCTTGTATCTTTTTTATCAAATACTCCTCCAAAGCAGCTCCCGCCTCAATTATCTTTGTATGAGGTTTAATATCAACCTTAATCACTTCATCCAACAATCCATCCAATCTTTCCATTTCCTCTGCCTCAGCAATTTGCGGTATGACTTCTTGCCAAGTACCAATATATGGTGCTTCACCATGTTTAAGAAGCTCTCCAAGCACGTCAGAAGCTACTTCTACCCTACCAACATTACACAAACCTTTAATCAAAGAATGTGTAATTGAAAAATGCGGAGAACAACCTTTCGACATCATTTCCTCCAAGTACTTCTTCGCTTCATCATACATCCCTTGATCAACCAAACCACCAACCAATGTTCGATAGGACACCAAATTTGGCAAACATCCATTCGAATACATATCATCCAAGATCTTGATGGCCTCGTGTGCACGCCCCTCACGACACAAACCCAACATAACCGTGTTATAATGTATGATGTTTGGATTACACCCTTTAACTTTCATCCTACATAGCAACTTATAAGCCTCCTTAAGCTTCTTCTTCCTACACAAACTATTCAACAAACTTGTATAGCTCAAAGTATCGGGCACGAAACCCTTATTAAGCATCTCATCCAACAAATCCATAGCTTTAGTCACCTGACTCTTCCTACACAATGCCTGCATCAAAATCCTATAAGATTCAACATCAGGCAAAACTTCTCTCTTAAGCATTTCATTGAACAGCTTATAGGCAACACTTAGTTCATCATTACCACAAAATGCCCTCATCAAAATGTTGTAAGATTTCACATTTGTGGTCACTTCATACTTACTTGCAATCCTAAAAAGATCAAAAGCAGGCCTAAGAAATATCCTTTGTGACACAAGAATAGCAAGAACATGATTCAGATGTTTTGAGGTCGGCTTACAATTAAACTCTACGATGCTGTAGAACATCTTAAGGGCCTTTTCAGGCATCTGGGCATCGCCATAAATGCAAATTAAGCTCGAAAATAAACCTGGGGTAGTGGGATAACGAAGGCGTTTGAGCTCAAGAAGAAGCTTTTCCATGAGAGTGAATTGGCGAGCATTTCCTAATTTGAGAATTAGAGTGTGATAAGTGGAGTAAGAATGACGAAAATTGGGTTGACGAGAAGCTAAATCGAAGATTTCTTTGGCTAAAAGAGGGTCTGATTGGGTAGAAATTAGCTTTTGGATTCGATTTGGGGAAACAATTAGGGTTCTTGAGAATAATTGTATGGCATTTTGGGTTTCTGGGTTGTTTGTTGTTCGTTTATGTTGTTGTGATGATGGTGGTTTTTGTGGGTTGATGGAAGAAGTAGAGTGGAAGAAGAAGAAGAGATTACCAGTGGTGCGTAGAACAGAGTTGCATGATGATTGCAAAGAAGAACGATGCATTCTTTTTTTGGGAGTTTAATTTAATTTCTGTTGCTGGGCGATCAACGAGTAGTAATTCATAATCCTATATTGAGTTGGTTTTCGGGACAATTAGGGGTGGTTTGAGGGACCGTCGCAAGTGGTTTATTTGATGCATAAACGCGTAGCAGTGTAGATTAAGGGGGCGTTTGTTATAGTAATTTTAGATGTAAGAAACGGATTCAATTAAGTGTTTATTTTTAGTTGTTTGGTATGGGTTAAAAGTAACAAATACTGTTTCCTAAGGGTAACAAAATCCCCCAATTTGTTACCCTTGACAAACTAGTGGAAACAAAAATACGTTTTCTTACTCAATCACAATCTACTCAAATTGTTTCAATTCCACTGGGATACCAAACATATAGAAAAAGTAACGTTTACCATTACCCTTTTCCCTACTTATTTGAATCTTTTCCGTTTCATTTACAATATTTATACCAAACACCCCCTAAAAATCTTGGATTGTTCGGGTTAAATTTGGATATCGATATGTTGTTTTTTTTTTTTTTTTTTTGATGCAAAAGAGAGGCAAAGCCCCCCCAAAAAAAAAGATATCGATATGTTGTTATAGCTATTTTCGGTGATAAAAATTAAATAAGTTCATTTTAGGTACAATAAAGTCTAATTACAAGTTTCAATAAAGTCGAATACACTCAAAGCTAATAAATACATAAATGAACCTAATTCAAAACACAATATTATACTCGTAGTTTGAGTATCAAACCAGCGAAACACTTTTTTCTAGTAGTATTTTTTTTTTTTTTCTTCTTCATTTGACATTAAACAAGCAAAACTCAAAATAAAATAAATTTGGCTCTTGAGCTCTTTTTGAAAATTTTACCCGATTTAACTCATTTTGTGAATTTGGATTGTTGGAATTCAATAAAAATAGTTCGAGTATTAAATAGGCGGAACTCAAAATCAATTGAATTTGGCTCAAACAAGCGGAACACGAAATCTATTGAATTTGGCTCACGATAATACGATATACAAAGTACTCTTAGGCTCTTAGCTATATGTTTGTCTGAATGCACATAATTAATTTTTTACACGACTTATATTTGATCCTTGAGAGTCTAAACATTTCGCATAATTTCAAGAATAGATAAGCTAATAATAGCAAGTCCTACCGGTGCTGATTGAAAACACTACCGAAGAGTGGAGTAAAAGCAACAATACTATCAAGCTGACCTTGATCAACTTCAAACCTAGCATTCAAGGATTTCAAGCCCTATGTAGCTCCAAGAAAATGTATAGACACCTTGATTAAGCTTTAGGAAGAAATCCAATGGCCTGGGAATAGCTTCATGATAGTTCCACCCATTATCCAATTCAACTCCGAAGCTGTCATGTTTGCTTGCTCAGCAATTAGAGACACGGCTTCTTTTGCTTCCTTGTAACCACATTCGGAAACCACAAATGGAAAATCACTGCAATTTATAAATAGTTACTGAAATTCAGACTGCTTTGCTGGTTTCTAACCACATTCATTTATCTAACATGATCGAAAACAGATCATACCTGCCCCACATAATTCTATCAGCACCAAAACTCGAAATGATTTGAGAGAATGGAGAAGACAAGTCCTGGTATGGAAATGCCTCTCTCGAAATCCTGAACAGGGCACTGAATTTTACATGAACCTGATAATTTGACAAATTTCAGACTGAATAGGCAAACAAATTATTATGAGCAATGAAAATGCCATGTTTATCACTCCATACATTTCAACAATCAGAACAAATTCTCATTGAAATCACTTGAATGTCAACAGAAAAAATTAGAAAAAAGAGCAATTTTTGTAGTGGTTAACTAGCAGATGATGGTTGAGTTAGTATGCTTCTTGTTCTAGAATGAAGTGCAATTTTTGTGGTATCAGTAAAATTATGTTACCCCTCGCATGCTCGTGTCCAAGTATCAGACTTAGGTATTATATAAATAATTCAATATTCATTGTCTCGAATGAAGTGCAAGTTTCCATATGACATGCAAGTTTCCACATACAATATCTAAATTTAATTATTAGGGTATGATGGGTACTTGAGGTGAAATGAAGAGTTTAAATAACATAACAATACACCTATGAATTGTTTAAGAAGACATATGAGACCAAATTTTCAAATACAACTACCCAAATTTCACCTGTAGAAATTGAGATAACTTCAACAGATTAGAGAAGGCCAAACTTTCATCGTCATTACTGCAATACAAACACAAGAAGTCCAGGTTTTAGCAAGCCAAAAAAAAGTGGAAGCTACTTGTGAAGAAGTTTACCGACAACATTACGTTGGTGGCTTGCAGAAACCCATATGATCTATTAGCACAGGAGTTGTGGGGTATTCTGTACACAATTCCTCAATCTCAGAAAAATGCAGATTTAGACCCTGAAAGTTCAACATTGAGTAAATAGATGTCACAAATTTTAAAAAATTTCATTTCTTGCTGTTCCAAATAAAGACCAACTATGTCCACAAAGATGTGAACTAGCATGAGGATGATGACAAAGGGAGAAAAAAAAGGAGAAGGGGCATCAAAAGTTCAGCATTATCTCTAAGTTGTAAGACCTTCATACACATGAAGCCTACTGGTACGCCAAGCTCTCCAGCCTTTGAAAACAGTGCCTTTCCTATCTTGTTTGTCATCTGCAGAAGTCAGCAATTAAAACATCTCATATCATTATTCATATAACATAGACATTACTAAGTACTACATAGTAGTAAAGGAGTTAAACTGTTAAGTACTTACTTAAGTACAGGAAAAAACATCAGAGATAATGATATGATAAGCTGAGAAGATGGATACCTTCTGACCAGATGGCCATAGATATGGATTGAAACGAACTGCACGATAACCATCCTGACAAAGAAACGGCATTTTGTAAATAGGGGCAACCGGACAACTAAAAGTTTAAACTATGGTACAGCACTATCAGATCATCAGATAGATCAGTCACCTTGGAAACAAGATCCTCGAGTTGTTTAATCCCACTTCCGTCATCTGCAGGATTTGCAAGGCAACAGCCAGCAAATTTGGTGGGGTATTTCTTCAAAATGCTGAACAGAAGTTAGTAAAACACTAATCAATGTGAGGAAAATGAAAAAAGAAAAATAACAGCCATTCCATTGGTTAAACATAACCAAATCAAGAAAACCAAGACAAACAATTTATTATTTGAAGCAACATATAATAAGTTTGGTTGAAGTGACAAGATTATACTGCATATACAGAAGTTTTCTAATCCTCAGAATGTTCATAATCTCACTCATTATAGGACTTTGTTACTCTACTGGTTATGCTAAATTGCTAATCAGTAATCACTATGCTGCATCAATGAATGCCCAAATTTGCAATTCTAGGCTTCAATTTTCAATCCGATCAACCTAAGCATGATTTTCAACATCTAAAAAGATTTACACAGACCTTGTAACATAAGAATGATCAAATTTGTGGTTAATTGGCTGCACAATCAAAGCACCATCTACAACTGCTTCATCCATACACTGTCAAAACCAAAGTATAAAATCAGTCACCATTTTCATCTAAACAAACCACTAAAAAAAGAAAAAAGGGTACGCAACAACTCTTGCTTAACAATTTAAAGAAGCTAAATTTTAGCGAAGGCATGAAATTGCATAGACTGGGTCTAATTTATGTAACACATTTTATTGATAAGTGGGGTGACATTTTCCAATATGAGACAATCTCATACAAGAATTCGCTTCCCACAATTTTACCAAAAACTCAAAACTTTCATAATCTACATTCTTTGCAAAAATAATACCTACTCAAAGGATAAGCTATGATCAAAATATTATGTGGATGTCAACTAGCTTAGTTGGTTATGATCTTCGGGTGGTACCTAAACCCGAAATTGAATTGATCAGAACATCACAAGCAGTCATTGATTGAAGTACATAACCTGGGAATTGTACCTCAAGCAAGAATTCAGCATGTCCAGGTAAGGTGGGTTCTTGGCCTGGGAAATAAGGGTATTTCTCTGCAGCCTTTTTCAGTAAAGAAATTGTATTAACGTTTAAACTAAACCCTTCAAATTATCTGAAAAATAATGCAGGACAAATTAAAAAAAAAAAAAAAGGATTAACCTCTTGCGGAGAAGCCCAAACATGGAGGTGGGAATCAATGATTTTAGGAACATGAGCAACAGAGGACATATTGGCTGCAAATACTTGAAAATGAGAAGAATTGGGAAGTGAATGAGGTTTTAGTTTTGAGGTAAGGCCAATTGAGTTTGAGTTTGTTGCTGAATGGATTAAACTACAAGGTTGCATTCTCAATGCCATTTTTAAGTGTTGGGAGTATTTGATATTGCTGGTCGACTGCTCGTTAAAATTGATGCTAGGGTCGTCGATAAGGGCATCGGCCTCAAATTTTGATATTCATTTTGTATTTGGTCACATTGTTCTAATCTTTATGCTTTATGTATTTTTAAATTATGGATGTCAATATTAATACGGAACGTGATAGTTAAAGAAATACGAATTATATTTTACGTGGTGAAATTATGCAGGAAAATTGGCTTAAAATAATACCAACTATCAACGGTGTGTGCAAAATAATACGAACTTAACCATTTGCAATTTTTTTTTTGAAACAAAACTATTTGCAATTAGCGGTACCACCTTTTGTACTATTTGTGCAAAATAGTACGTCGGTCACCGGAAAAGAATCGCGAGAAATATTCCGTCTATATTTATTATTATTTTTTGTTATTAATTTTCTATTTTCTTTTCAAAATACATATTATGTTAACAATTTTTTTTAGTACAATCCAAATTAATAATGTCCCACCTTTGGGTTTTTTTTTTTTTTGAATTGTCAATATGTATTTAAATATATATTGTTTAATATCTTTAGTAATTTCTACTACCATACAATAGTAAATATAGAATTTAAATGCATTATTATTTTAATATAATTAGCTTAAAAAATTGTTTAAGAAATCCAAAAATTTCCCCACATTATTTTGGTTAGTGAATGTGAGAAAATTTTGGATTTTTGAAATGATTTTTGATTAAACTAATTATTCCCTACCTTCTTTTGAATTGTTGGAGTCCTGTTATCAATATAAAAATGTATTTAATTAAATACCCTATATACTATTGTTACTACACGTATTTTGAAAAAAAAATATTTAAATACATATTGACAATTAAAAATAAATAAATAAATAACCTAATAAAGGGGTGGGGCATTATTAATTTGGATTATAAAGGAAATTGTTACATAATATGTATTTTGAAAAGAAAACAGGATACTAATAAAATATATAAAATAATAATAAATATAGACGAAATATTCCTCGAAATGCTTTTTTGGCGACCAGCGTACTATTTTGCACATATAATAGTACAAAAGGTGGTACCACTAATAGCAAATAGTTGAGTTCGAATTATTTTGCACACACCATTGATAGTTGGTATTATTTTAAGCCAATTTTCCAATTATGAATGATAATTTTAATTTAATAATTAGCACAAGGCTTTCAAAATGTTTTGAAAAATATTCTAATCTTGCTTTAGGAATTTTATTAAGAGTGACTCCCGAAAGTTATGGTGACTATTTTCTCTCATCTTCTCTAAGTGTAGGTTAATTCACATTGTTCCTTTAAGGAAAAAAAAAAAGAAGCTTCATTCACAATGTGGATAATAAAGGAGTTTTAACAAAAAAAAAATAAAAAAAATTGGTTTTTTCTTATCTGAATCTATATTACTTCTCGGCTCGTAGCCTGGTAGGAGAAGTTCAACACACCTATGTATGATCATGAAAGGTTGTCCCTTTGTTTTTTTGTAAAAAAAAAAAAAAAAAACTAGAGTTGGATTTGCACATTTGCCGAAACATAAATTTGACCATCAATATCTTTAATTAGAGATTAGTAAAAATTATGAATAAAAATTACAAAGTAGACATTATGACAAATCCAATAGCATATTATATGATCATATTTATACATATTTTTAAAAAATAAAGGGAGTAGCATCTTGACTTGACTAGTTGTCTTAGGAACCTTTTCAATTTTGAAGAGGCAAGACATAAGTTGTAGCCTCATAGTCTTGAACATTTTAGTATGTATATTTTACATTTTTTTAATTTGCTCATTTTCCATCACATTTTATGGATCTTATCGATACAAATATGTAAGTAAATTTGTATCAATAATGCCAAATCTTCTTTAGTTAAAAAAAAAAAAAAAATAAATAAAAAAAAAAAACTATTTTATACATTGTAACTTTAAATCCATAATAAAGGAATTATACATTGTAACTTTAAATCCATAAAAATCAAGTGAATTGACCTAGATGGATCTTAGCTAAATTTAATTATTGGAATATTGTTATTAAACCTCCCTCTTATTCCGAGGATATATTTCAGAAGGAACAAACTACTTTAGTCCTCAACATTGCCATTACCATTACACCCTTACCAAATCTCTCTCTTTTTCTCTATCTCCTCTTCGTCACTGTCTAAACTCTAAATCCCATTTTCATACCTCGAGCTTCATCCATCAATGGCGGCTTCTTTCGCAATCCAAGTATAAACCCTAGATATTTCTTGCTGTTCTTTCTGATGATTGATTTAAATTTCTCACTGATTGATTCTTGATTTTTTCAGGCAAATGTTACTTCAATCTCCGGCAAAAGAGACCTAGTCCCGGTTAATTCCGCCGTCAATTCCGCCGTTCGGAGTTCTCTCAAACTCCCGAGAATTCCTCTGTCGTCTTCTAATTCCTTCGGTCACGTGTCCCTCACATGCTCTTCTCCTCTTTCTCTTCGCCGGAAACCTGCTTCTCTTACCTCTGTTCGAGCTTCTGCTGAGGTGAGCTACTTCTTTTTTTCATTTGTCGTAATGTGTTCTTCAATTGGTGAAATTCTTGAGAGTTGGTTGAATTTATTTAGGTCAAACTATGATTGTTTTAGTGTTTCATATTGTTGGAGAACTAATAGTCACATATGCTATTTCGAGATGTTAGTAACAAAAATTGTTGCGTCGCATTCTTGATAATCAATACATTCATCGGTTTCAAAATGTGAGTGGTTCTAAACAATTATTCTAATAATGTAATTTTAATTGAAATGAATTCTTACTATTTGCAGTGGAAGAGGTAATGTTTTATGATTGATTTCCCAATAATTTCCCTGCGTTGATTTGAGAATGGCGAAACTGCGAAAGTATATACTATGACAGTGTCTTACAGTAAAATCATGATATATGGTTGATATGAGGTTTTGGAAAATGCGGCAAATAGGAGAATTTATTTGTTTATGAGATGATGTTATATGATACTCTAATTTGCAGGAGACTACATTGCAATCAAATGTGACGAATAAAGTGTATTTCGATATCAGCATTGGGAATCCAGTAGGGAAGTTGGCTGGTAGGATTGTGATTGGTCTCTTTGGTGAAGATGTGCCTCAAACTACTGAGAATTTCAGAGCTCTTTGCACTGGTGCATCTTTTAAAGCAGATCCTTGAATTACATTTGGTTGCTTGAGATTAAGTGTTTAAAGCTTTGATAAAATAAGTGTGTTTAAAACTTAGTAATTGTGTTGCTTTGTCTTTCAGGTGAGAAGGGCTTTGGTTACAAGGGTTCCTCGTTTCACCGTGTTATCAAGGATTTCATGATTCAGGGAGGAGATTTTGATAAAGGAAATGTATGTAAACTTAATCTCAGCTTCCAGGATTTTAGAATCTTCCATGGCATTTCTTCACATGCTCTGCACATAACAGAAATCTATTTTTAGAATAAGGATTTATTCGGTGTTATTGTGATATGGTCATCTCTGCTTATGGTGGGATTATGGGGTCGACAGTTGTTCTATACATATATATATATATTATATATATATATATATATATATATATATATATGGTGATCTGCAATATTACTTGAGTTTGAAATTTATTTGCTGGAGGAAGAAAAAAAAAACTAAATTAGTAATTGAACCTTCCATTATAGCCTCTTAGCTGCATATTCAGAATTATAGAAATTTTTTGCCCACTTCTTCATAGCATTCGTAGCAAGTAGCACCTTCAGATGTGAGCTAATTTTAATGGAATAAAAAAGAGTAATAAACAGGTTTTGTTGATTGACATCATAAAGCTTTTAAGTTAGTAGTTTTTGGTAAAACTTAAGACATTACTGTGAACTTTTTCAAGGGAAGCAGTGTGCTTGTGGTCTTCAAGGATTTGAAGATCTAGACAGTTTCTAGAGCTCTAATATAAAGACTTTTAAAATCTTTAAATTTGGCATAATTCTGTGGAATTATAACTATATGTCCTTCCTCTTTACAAGTATAACCACAATCACGTGCTTGCTCTCTCAATTAGAGATGATATTTGTCATGCAAAACGAAGGAAGCCCTTCTCTAGAGGGATGCTGCCACTGGTCCAATACTATGGTATTTCCTGTTGTTATTGTGGCAATGAATAATCTAGTTACTGGAAGGTTCATGATTGAAGTGGTATGGTGTTCTGGTACAAAGACCCAAATGATTGTGGTTCATAAAAATCCTGTAGGTACTCTTTAAGGGGCTCTTATTTTGGGAGGCTTGATTAATATTGTTGTCAAGATTTGTCACAATGGTTGTGGACTTTGTAAATGCCATTGGGCTGTAGCTTCCAAAGAGGAAGAGGATCCATATATTTCTCTGAGTCTAGTTTACAGTCAAGTAGGCTCTGTTTTCTGGTAATTAGTTTTACCAAGGATTTCATGGGCATGGTTTCAAGGCTTGTAGACACTGTGCATAGCTAATAATCTTCTTTGGTTGTGCCGGCTGCGGACTTCTTATAGGACTCTTTTTTGTCCTTTAAAAAAAAAAAAAATTTCCTTCTCAAAGTGCCTTAAATTTATGTGCTCAAGTGTTCTTATTAATTGTTTGTTAGAATATGGCTTCTACAGCTCTACAATCTTGAGCTCTTGATGATCAATATGGACCCCATGGGCTTTGGCATTTTTTCTCACTAATGATTGATAAGATCTACATCATTGTCTACATGTGTTTCACTTGTATCTTTTGTTAGTGTAATAACTAATACGAAATAAATGTTAATTTAATTTTTTCTTTGATCACTTGTACTATTGGACAAACAAAATAAATAAGAAACCACCAATGGTTTATAGGGTATAACTTCCCTTCATCAATGTTTCAATTCCTTATTTAGGCCTTTGTATAGCTAAAGGCCTAAAGTTTAGTGCATCTTCCGGTGTTATCTATGATCATGTGTATTGTTGGACGAACAAGAATAAAAAAAAACCTCCAATGGTTTTTAGGGCATAGCTTCCCCTCATCAATGTTTCAATTCCTTATTTAGACCTTTGTATAGCTGAAGTTTTGTACTTCTTCCATCCCAATTTATTTGTCCCATTTCCTTTTTGATCAATTTTTCTCTACTTTTTCTTGAGTTGGGTCCCACACTCACCTACTCATTTTTATCCTCTTTGCCTTTTCACTCACCTAAAATCTTGTATTCTTGTGTAAAATTTAATGGCATATGTATAAAAGGAATGAAAGAGTATTAGGTTTAGAACAATACATGATGCTTCTTGATTTTGTACATATATTGCTTCATGATAGTTTGAAGGCACCCATTATTTGTCCCTATCCCTTCTTTACTTTTGGGTGACACCCCTTTGTGTCTTTTTAATAAAAAAAAAAGAGAGAACATTATGGAGTATTATGGACTTCAAGCAACCAAAGTGGTCATGGTGATTAAGATTTCTTGTCCAATTATATTTTCCTAGAATTAATCTGCTTAAAATGTGATGTGTAACTTTAGAAACGGATCTTTTGGAAGCTTGAAGCCTGTTCAAGTCATTGTGTAACTTATGGCCCAGGACTCCCAAAATCTGCAGAGTACTTGGGCTGTTGTAGAAGTCCCCATGAACTTGGTTTACGGAGTATTATTGTCACAGACTTGTTTTTTGTAAAGGCTTAAAGCCTTATATGGGCTCACAGTTGCAGGCAACCTCAAGGATGCATTGGTATCACTAGAAACTTTTTGTCAGATATCTATCTTGATATTTGCAGAGATCTAACTGACATTTATGAGAATGATCAATAGGTTCTTAAGAGACATGCTTGGGATGCTACAGCTTACGTTGAGACAAATATGAAGTATCTACCACTTGTCACCCAAGCGGAGGGGATCTGACAAGTTGGGGAATCAAGATTCTAAGCTTCCTTCATCCCTTTTAGTTAGCTATATTTAATTATCACTTTGCTATTGATATGGGTTATGTATATAGTCTATTGATACAGGTAGAATGACCAGATATTGGTTGGATTTAAACTATGTTCAATTAGTGGCCAATCCCTTATGTAGAGTTGATTGTTGAGAAGAAGCAGTCATGTGGGCGTATAGCTCTGCCAATCAGCCTATTTAATCATATTTTTGCGTACCTTCACGCATGCTGGTGCATTATAACTGCAGTATAGTAAAATGTTCCTGTAGATTAGCTGCTAGTTTTCACCTGAAACCTGAAGGCACTTGCCTTACTATATTGTTAAGATTTCAGGATAATCAGTAGGTGTGTAAGGATATATAAGAGTATTTGAATGATTGTGAATTGACTTGCTGGAGATTGTGTGGAGGAATGAATTGAAACCTTATTTTTGGGAGACAAGAACTTGAAATTCTCCTCTTGAACTGCTAGACCTTTTATATTTACCACTGGACCAACCCGTCTAATGATCTTGACTGTAGTTGGCCAATAATCCCCCCCCCAACCTTTTTTTTTTCCCCTGGTTAACCAATGATCCTTTACTTGGGTACCTTGCTTGGTATATTGAGTGAAACTTTGATGTTTTGGGCGTTTTTGTCATTGAATGCATTTTAAGGAGATGTAGACCTCGTCATACAGTATAGTAATATAGCCTTCCCCCTTTGGACTCAGGAGCACAAAGTAATAATACTGACATTACTTAATTTTACTTTGTAATGTTGCTCTAACAACCAATATTTTTGTAGAGGTGGATGATGCGGGGCTGAGGGTCATCTCGTTCATATTTTACTTCACCTTTTCCTTAGTAACTTTAAGTTGGCACCACCTATCATCAAGTATTGATGCTTTCTATCATGAGGACTAAATTACAGCTTTATAAGTAAGCGTATCTTAGTTCATGATGACCCACTTTATGGCTGAATGCTTACTATAAGAGATCTTTTTTCAATTGTTCTCTTTATTATTTGCATGGCACTATAGCAGTATAGCCTTTATTTTCTCTGTATGGAGCCTACTGAGAGAATAGTTTGTGGTAATTATCAGCAGTCATTCGTTTTTCTGCATGAACTCTGAATGTGGATCTATTTATTTATATATTTGTTTATATTAATTTTTATTGCAGGGAACTGGAGGTAAAAGCATCTATGGCCGTACATTTAAGGATGAGAACTTCAAGCGTAAGTTGACAGTGGTTTAGGACTTTAATTGTATAGTGTTTCTTGATTTATTGAGCTGTAGTGCTGTACGGGGAATTCTTAACTTTTACAAGTTATGGTTTTGAAGTTCTTGCTGTGCTATGTCATATCTCATGAATTTATGATTTGTTTTTGGAATTTCTGCAGTGTCTCATACTGGTCCTGGAATAGTTAGCATGGCCAATGCAGGCCCCAATACTAATGGCAGCCAATTTTTTATATGCACTGCTAAGGTACTATATACCTTTGACATATACATTTTAAATTTTTTTGATCCATCAATCTCTTTTGGCTACTAATAACATGGTTATTAACAAGAAATAATTTAATCACCTCATTTGAATCCATGAATAACTATTGATTTGCTTCCCCAAGTGTCTCAATTGTCAGTTTGTATCCTGCCAAGCCCTGGGTCGGGAAAAGTCTAAGTTGGAACCATTTACTCCAAATGGCATTATCCAACTGGGTTGCTGACTACAATTTCAGATGTGACAATCTGTATCTAAGGTTAAATCTGTAATTAAGGTTTGATTGGTCTTTGAAAATAGTTTTTTTGTTTAGGACTAAGGGGCACCTTCTCCATGGCTTACTCCTGTATAGCTTTGAATATTTAGTTCTGCCTTATTATTCAAAGTTTCAAACCATAGGTCAGATGGAAATGCATACCACATCAGTCATAACAGCTAAGTAATTTCAACTGAAAAAAAAATATGGACCTACATCAATTCAAACTAATTTTTGTATATGAAATACATGTCATGTAGTGAAGTAATTGATCTATAATTAATATTTTCTTATATAAATGTACTTCCTCCGTTTTTTTTAGTTGCATCACTTTCCTAAAAAGGAAGTTTTAAATTAGTTGCATTACTTTCCTTTTTAACTAATAAATTCTCTGTGTCTCCTACCACATGGGCCCCATGTATTTTTTCTCTCTACTTCTCTCTACTCTAAAAATTGCCTAGGAGTCTGTGAAATCAAAAGTGATGCAACTAAAAAAAATGGAGGAAGTATATGTTTTGAAAAAGGAAAAATTATTAAAATTTGAAAAGTTTGAATGAGAAAATTAGTGTGCCCATCTTGAGTTTGTAAAAACAATTTTATTAAACTGATTCATTTACTTGGGGAGAGAAAGGCAGAGTGGCTCGAAAAAGGGTTTGTGGAAAGATGAACTATTGAAGGTATGAAGCCATAAAGGTGAACATGATTATGGTTGTAACCTTTGTATTTTAATAATAATAATTAAGGGGAAAAAATAGGGGGGTGACACATAAAGGGGACCACATGGCATCGTAGCATGCTCACTTCCAATTTATTAAATATAGGCTAATTTAGTATCGATGGGTGTTTTGTATTTCGTTGATTCTTGCGCATGGTACGATTAAGGATTGCTATGATTGTTACTACGGTGAAGAATGGGTATCGAGTATCAACGCCTGATGAGACTGTGGATCCATGGAGTGTATCTATATGAGACTGCAGATGAGCCCCTAGTGAGCTAATAGACAACAATGGGACTGGCTAAAACTAACCTAGGTTATATGGGAAGGCTTTTGGAGTCACCAACTCACCATGACCAAATTAACCATGCTGGAAGAACTAAAGGTATCTTTGGGAGTGTTGTATAGACCTCTTGGGGCCATGCTGAAACTTAATCAGGGTTATGGGAGGAGGTTCCCTATGGTTTCATGGGACTTGGTTATCATACATAACACTAATGCACGAACAATATGGTATTGAAAGGACTTAGAGGCAGTCTCTGGAGGCGGAGTGTAAATTTGATAATAATTGCTAGACTTAAAACTATGATCCTAAAGACTTAAATTTCTTGGGTCACCTTGGATCCATGGCAAGCTCTGATCCTAAAGGATGTAGGGACCAGCCTTTCTCCTTGCAAGCCTTGTTTGAAGGCAATAATTCATGCCTCAAAAACTTTTGGGGTCACCACTACTACAGAAACCACCCCGAGAGAACTCAAGGCATCACTGGGAGGTATCTGAATTAGGCAAATATTAATGATAAGACTCAATATTATGGTTCTACAACCCAACCATTAAGGACTTTGGGTTTAGAAAAGCCCCTAGGGACCCTATCAAGTTAAATTTGCAGGAGTAATAATTCACACCCCATAGACACTCACAAATCTAGCGACTAAACTTAATGGTGCTATAGGGAAAGCTCTTTTGGTCATACTGCACGATAAGGATGGTGTAGAAATGAAACACCATATTGAGGCATACTGGAATTCTGGAAGCCAGCAGGAATTGTTCATTAGACATGGTAAGGGTCCTATTCAAGTAACCCAAGGCATACTGGAATTCTGGAAACCATATTGAGGCATACTGGAATTCTGAAAACTCCATAGTGAGGCATACTAGGTCCTGATACACAGTGGAAGCTTCCTGTGATCACTAGAGGCTCTGTGACATCATGTATCATAGTATGTTCTCTAGTTGTTGACAAGCCTTAGAGTTAAGTGTTCCCGGCATTGACAAAACCTCAAGAAGTTGCCTACGTACCATGATGCATTGACATTGTAATCGCACTTCAAGCAATCTCAGTCCAATGCCTTTTGATATTACCTAACCTTACCCATCTATGGCTAAAGAATCCTTTCTTGCTACAAATGTTTAGTGCCAATGGATTATTTACCATAGCTTTCCTTTCATATAACAGCAGGCGCACTAGGAAACCATCAGCTTTGCTTCACTTGCGTATGACTATGCATATGTAGGCTAAATGTCTTGTGAAATCCTCTGTTTTATAGCCTGTAGCACAGCTGAGTAAGGTTTTAATTTATAGACCCTGGAGTCTCCAGGTGCATGCTGCCAAGTTTGTAATTTTGAACTCTTTTTGTTCATAATTGCAAATTTTTTGGGACGCATGGGGGAGGATTTGGGCGTGTTTTCGGAACCTGAGGGGCCTTTTGCAGAGTTGGTGAAAAATATTCATAGCATAGCCTTTGTGAACCACACATTTCTCCTATATCTGCAGTTCCTGGTAATCTTGCTGCTGAAGTACTAGTTATCAATTTATCACCTGGGGACATATATTAAATTTAGCTTTGTTCATTTTGTAATGTTGTGTTAGCCTCAGTGTCTCAATATCTAGAGCAATCTTTCCTATAGTTATTTCATGCTTCTGATAATCTTACAGTTGCAAGTTTAGCATCTTTGCACCAGCCCCCGAGGGTGCATTATGTAGCGGATGGAGCAAGTCCTTTGATTAAAGATACTTATGTGGAATTGGAGAGTAGTTTTTGCTTCATCTAATCTATTTTTGCTGCCATACCCCTGTAATTGTAGATTTATAGCTGACAAACACTGCTCTTCCTGTGCTTTCCAAGCTTTGAGATCAGAGATTTATTACTTTTTGTACTAATTTTGATTTATCTACTGGCAGACTCCATGGCTGGATCAGAGGCATGTAGTCTTTGGACAGGTTCTGGAAGGCATGGACGTAGTTAGGCTCATTGAATCACAGGAGACAGACAGAGGTGACCGTCCAAGGAAGAGGGTTGTCATCAGTGATTGTGGAGAGCTTCCAGCAGTATGATGCATATATTTGTGGTGTCTGAATGATGTACCTCGTGCTGCAGGCTTCAGTTTTGCCATTTCTTTCACATTAGAAGGCTTTATTCTTTACATGACTAGCCTATTTGTGCACGTCTCTCTATTCCCTAGTTTTTGCCGGTATAGAGGATTCAGTAAATTTAGACTACATCCTGGTTGATGTATCAGGCACTAGAGAGCGTACACTACATTTTAGCCATCTCATAGAGATCTTTTTGGTGGATTAGTATTGTGTACTGATGTCTATATTGCTGTTGTAAAATGTTTACTTCATGATCTACGAATGATACAGATTGCACTTTTAGAAATTTCCTGGTGTCTCTAGTGTTTTTTTTTTTCCACGACAGTAACAGGTGCTTCCAGACGTCAATTGATGAATGCTAAGTAGATAATTTCGTGATTATATCCATCTAGGCTGCTGGTTGAGGAGTTTATCTTTGGGATTTTTTTTTAGGGTAATACCAAACAGGTACCGTCTGTTCCGCATATGCTATGGAATTAAAATACAGCACCTATCTATAGTAAAACATTATATTGGACCTCTATCTGGTCAGGTGGTCAATATCCTACTAACCATTCATCAAGGTTCATTTTTAATTTTTTATTTTCTATATTCATTTTTGGAAAGCAGTGGCAATATGAATAATGATAATGTACAAAGTATTACCAAAAAAAAAAAAAAGTGTTTTATTAGTTAATTCAAGTGAAATTGACAAAAACACAAAACTATCTCCTTTTTAAAAAAAAATTATTTCTCTTTCAAAGGCTATTCCATCAGTTCATTGTAGCTTGTAAGATATGTAACTTATTATCTGCCAAAAAAAGATGTGTAACTTATTCATTACTCCCCTGTTTCTTTTCACCGGCCCCATCTAATCAAATATTACCATAGAAAATGATCAAATAAGGCAATAAAATGAGGGAGTTCTTTTTCCCTCTATTTTCCTAATAAATTGTGATTTTGTATTTAATTTACTACTTCAGGATTCTTGAAAGTGGCTTTTTCTTTTGTTTTTGCACATTTTAATGTTTTTATGGTAGAGATCTATCACTAGTTAACACACAAAAAAAAAATTAATAAATAAATAATAACTAAATAAATAAATCATTATTAATATTTTTAGGCACGTGATCTAAAGAGAGGGAGTATGACATGCCAATTATATTGGTATTCTTTTTAATTAACTTTAACGAGTAATGGATATGTTGGTGCTAAAAAAAGTAGTGGTAAGTTCAAATATGAAATGGTCTTAATTTGAAATCGATATTACTTTTTTGTCACATAATTTCATTTTCATATAGTGAATTTTTACTTCTTGTGATCGACAAGTATATTATGAGATTGTTGCATTATCTAAACATGCTCTAAAAAAGATGATAAGTACATTTATCCAAAGCATAAGATGTCTTTATTTCCTTCTCCAACCGCCATTACTTCATTTATATCTACTCCCTTGACATCACAGACACTTGCCAATAGAGCATATCTATATGTAATGTGAAATAACCAACCTAATAAAAAAGAATGATTAGTGGAGGCTCAATTTATATTTTACTTTGATAACCCATTCATGTAAATCAACAGTAATTTTGAATAGTGATTCTCATATAATATATAAAAGTAAATGACGACTATTTTAGTTAGTTAAAATATTAAGGTCATATTCAAATCTAAATAAAACTATAATCATCAATATTATTCATATCGATATGTACTTTTAAGATAACAAATTTTGATAAAGTTTATTTATTTATTTTTTTAAGATGCTAAAATTTAATTTAAACACTAACAAGCGTAAAATGTCAATTAAAAAAATACGAAACGAGTATGTTACAATTAAATACTCTATTGTGGAGGAAAAGAAGTCCACAACTCCACGTCTCCACATGATTGAAACTAATGCTATGACGCCTATGAGTCGAGTACATTTATAGCATGGTGATCTAGCACTTAATGAAAGAATCAAGGAAGAGCTAATAAGTATTTCCTCGGTTTATATATATATATATATATATATATATATATATATATATATATATATATATATATATATATATATATATATATATATATATATATATATATATATATATATATATATATAATTACAACAGTTTGACTTTTTCATTATTTTTGTGTTTCACTTTAACTAATTTTGATGATTTATAGCTATGCAAAAATATAGTCATGTGGCATCTTATTAGATTCTTCTTAATTTATACTATTTTAATATTAAAAGTTTATGATTTTTACATATTGGTAATTAAATATATTAATAATTAAAATCATGCATTAACAAGCGTAAAAAAAAGTGTTGCAATTATAAAAAAAACAGATAAAGTATATAATTCTATAATTATTGGAAAAACAAAAGTCAGAACACGTGCTTCGAAGAAGATTGAAAGGATTTTTTTGGCGGGCCCATGATTCCAAACAGCTTGTTTTAATAAATTTAAAAGAACAATTAAAAAAAATACGAGTAAAAAAGAATCTGTAATATGGGTAGTCCACATGACAATTAAAGCCCGCCCACTATTTCAGAAACGGGTTAGGCGGGCATATCGAGAGTGATGCAGAAAGTGACACGCGTTCTGAGATGTTTGCTGGTATCATCTTCAGACTTCAGACTGTGTGATTGTGTGAATCAGCTTTTCCACCTAACAGACTGCCCACTAGACAAAGATTCTTGTCGGTAGACTTTTTATTACTCGACTCCCACTAATTTACTCCGTCTGTCTAGTAAGGGCATTTTAAATACTCTCCATGTCCTATACTACAGTGTAAGTTTAAACTCCATGTCCTATTCTATTATGCGATGCGATGTAATATAAATCCTTCTCATATCCTACGCTTAATATTTCACTTTTAACATAGGGTTAGATGAGATTTGAACATGTAACCTTCTTGTCACGCTGAATCTTAATATCATGTTAAAGGATTAACTCAACTAAAAGTTCATTTAAGCTCATGATTGAGGCTAGAAAATATGTTTTATACTCTATCACTATCTGTTACGTTTTGTATGGTAATTAAAATTTTACGCAATTTCGGTAAAATATATTAGGATACTCCTTAATGTCTAACCTTGTAGGATTTGAAAATGTTCTCCTAATGCTAAACTCAAAGGCTATATAATTCATGCTTTTGCATTAATTTTAAGGGGATTTTTTTTTTTTTTAAATGGAGTGAATGGGTGGGGAGTCCTTAGAGTTATAAAAGTTGGTTTGAAATCATAACAGGTCTTGCTGGTTTTCTAAAGCCTCGAGAATGAGTTTTGGTGCAAATATATGGCTATTTCGATAATCCACAACAAGAGTTGCAATCACAAAAGTGGCTCCCAGGATTCCGATAATGAAGAACAAACGCTTTGCAAGCATGTAGCTTAGATCTACTCCGTAGCATTCTTATAACTGAAACTTAGTTACTTCCAAAAAGCATTAACTAATACGCATGCATGATTAAGAATCTTAACAACCTAACAACATTAATTTGATTTTCTTAAAAATTATTATTCAGGCATTACTCAAGTTTAATTTAAATCAAGTTTCATATTTTTGGTTGACGATTTGCATAGTAAACCTAATAAGCTGAAAGTAAAGTACAGAATAGTGCAAATGATAAATGATGAAGCTAGAATATTTTCAATTAAAAGGGTTAAACATTTAATCATCCAATCAATAATATAATGCGTAGTGACTTGTTATCCCAATTCTTCCAGCACGATCACCCAGCTAGAGTATATTGGAAAAGCCTAATCATTTTTTAAATTAAATGGTTATTAACTTATTATGATATATACCATTCTTTTTATTTTTATTTTTTTTTTGAAAGAAATGGTATATACAATTCTTAGATTCTGTTTGGTTCTGATTTTGTGTGAAATAATTTTGTTTTTTGATTAATATTTTCACTTTTATCCTTATCAAATACCAATATATATATATATATATATATATATATATATATATATATATATATATATATATATATATATATGACTCTAGATAATGATTGATTGGCTATGCGATAATAATATAAAAGAGTTCAAGAAGATAAAATAAAATGCACTCGCATACTCAATATAAAAGGCCTTTAAAATTATAAAATTGATGGTTATAATATTTTACTCGTACTTTTATCTTTCTGAAATCACCAATATTATTTTGAGCACATAAAGAATATGGAGTTAGATTTGTTCCAATATCTAGTTTTAGAACAATTACATTTTTATAAGTTTTGTATAAGTTAAATATATTTATGTTTTATGACCGTGTTTTAAAGACCACAAAAAGTCAAAATAAGATAAATAAATAAGAATATACGGAGTACGAATTATCTTATTCTATTACATCATTATTTAAAATAAAAATAAAGTGTTGTTCTACCTTATTTAAAAAAAATATATATATTATTGTGGTTGGTACATTATTGCATCAATCTGAAAAAGCAATAATGTACCAAGTAAAAAAGTCTTCTAAATGTGGAGGACATCTTTAATTTTGGTCAAGTTCTGGAATCCAAATTGGCCACTTTCGGTTATTTGGATGGGACTCCATTTAACCTCAGACTGAAAACTTGAAAAATAAATGAGTCACAGTTTTAATTTTTTATTTTTTGGAAGTAAACAAATGGAAGTAATTAACCAGCTCAGTAATTTTTTTCTTTTGGAATCTTTATCAGTATTATCACAGTTTGCTGCACTATTTGGATTGCTGACTCGTTGCTTTGCTCATCATCACATCCATGATTCTTGTCATCATTGCTTAGCTTCTAAATTTCAGTCAAACTGTACATAACGTTGTGTATCGTACTTTTTTTTTAATTTTTTTTTAATAAGTGATAAAGGAGGATTCTGACGAGACCTTAACCTTTACGATTTTTTTGGTCAAATATTTATAGGTCAAACACTTTGGAGTAGAGGGGAGGGTAAAGAAACCCTACCCCCAAGTACCCTCACTTGGTAGGATTTAAACCCAAACCTCTAGAATCTGAGGTGAGAACTTTACCAAGTGAGCCAACACTTTGTTGGTCTACCATACTTCACTAATGCACTAGGGAATACTAAACTAAGCTTCGTCTAATAAAAAGGAGACCGCATTCCAACCATAAGATTGAAGGTTTAATCCCCACCAATAACAATTTAAAAATGAGATTCCTTTACCTTCCCCCCACTCTCCCAAATTATCTAGCCCGTTAACTCGGGTCAGGTTAATTAAACCATGAGGATTTCTAGCACGGAAGGGCCTTTCATCTTAATTAAACTGAAAAAAAAAAAGAGAGAGAAAGAGGGAATATACGAAGTATCTAAGAGTAGATTTTAATTTACTTTTAGGGTTAATATTGAGAAGGTATTGGGTGCGGACTGCCGCACGCAAAATTTGCGTGCGGCAGGTTGACTGATATATTTTACTTGTTGGCTGATATATTTCATGTGTTGGCTAATATGTTTTATTTGTTGGCTAATATGGTTTTTGTGTTGGTTAATATATTCCTTTTGTTGGCTTATATGTTTTTTTAAATTTTTTTTTGATATGTTCCTTTTGTTGGCTGCTATCAGACATCAGTTAGCTGATATATTTCTTTGGTTGGCTGATATCTCTATTTTGTTGGTTGATATGTATATTTTGATTGTTGGCTTATATGTTTCATTGTGTTGGTTGATGTGTTTATTTTGTTGGCTTACATGTTGCTTTTGTTTGCTGATTTCATCCTTTCGTTGGCTGATATGCTTCATTTGTTGGCTGATATGTTTCGTCTCTTGGCTAATAAGTACCTTTTTATGACTGATATATTCCTTTTGTTGGCTAATATGTATCTTTTGTTGGCTGATAGGTTCCTTTTGTTGGCTGATACATTTTTATTAATGTTTGATATGTCCCTAATATTGACTGATATCAGACATTTATTAGTCGATATGTTATTTTTTTTTTGGCTTATATGCGTCATTCTCCTTCTTTTTTTTTTTTGGATAGAACGTCATTCTCCTTCTTCTTCTGCTTTGTTCCTCGCTTACTCTTAATTTCCTCACGTCACCCCTTAGTCCTTCTCCTTCGTTCCTCACTTCCCCCAAATTTCCTTCTCCAAAAATCAGTCCAGCCACCCCTCGCCACGCCGTTTTTGTCGCCACCGTTCAAGCCTACGCCAGGTCGCCACCACCAAACCCAGCAGCCACGACCAACCGCGCAGCCAGGCGGAGTGCCCAACCACGCAAACCAATAACAAACTCCACCGTACCAGCCGCTGCTTCACGTCTAGGGTTTTAAACGCAAATCGGCATTTTCAGATCGTCGTCGTCATCGTCATTCTCGTCTTTATCGTCATCTCCTCCGTCGCAGCACGAAACATATCGGGTGTGGACCGCACCCAATAATTTGTGTTTAATATTTTCGAAATTTGTATAATATTTTAAAGTTTGGATAATGCTCTAGTCTAGTCAGGGTCCCCAAGGCCCATAGAAAGCACCTCAATGTTGATGGAAGACACCAAAAAATTGCTTTGAAATTTCATCACATCTGTTGATTCGCGCCACCTTTATAGAAAGGGTAATAGAGCAAGAGACTATGTGTCTAGGCCATTTTATGCAAGCTTATTTGAATATCGATCCGTTCATAGATAGTAATTTTTTATTTATTTATTTATTCTGATAAGTTAGGGTATAGTTTTGAGAGAAAATCATCATAACTTCTTATTTACCTTTTCTGTTAAGAAAAATGTCTTGGTATTCTAAGTATGATAGGGACAAAAATGCTTCAAATTGAAAGACTATGCATGATTTCAAAATGCTTCTGTAAAGTTGTTCAAAACTCAAGCGGAGTTGGGATATGCATCTTAATTGGGGTAATAAGTAGTTGTCTCGTAAAATATTTTTTAATTAAATTATTGTTACAAAATTTTATTTGATTTGGATATTACGGAGTACTATATATTTTCAAAATATCAACCTTTTATACATTTGCTTTTAATTAATTAGATACTTCGTATATTGTTTGAAGTTGTGTATTATCAAACATAAAAGTTAATACAGAGTATAAAGCAATTTTGTTTAAAAAAAAACACACACAATGGTGGTACTGAGTAATTGTTAAAGGTCATTAAAGCCATTTTGTATAAATTGATTATCTTGAACATGCCTTGTGAATCATCCTGATACTGTAGCAAACAAGTGATGCGGTCACTGTGGTTGGTTTGTGATGAAACTAGAAAATACTGCTATTAATCAAATATAGTATTTAATTTGTTTTCAAAACAAAAGGTCAACTTTTTAAATTTGTTGGGGTTGGAGTAGATTCCAGATTAAACATTCAGGATTCCCATGACAAAAAAAACAATCCAAAGAACAGCATCTTCAACAGTCAATAATTCCACCCCCCCCCCCCCCCCCCAAACAAAAAAAAAGAATCAAATCCAAAACTTTAGACACAGATATGAGGTTGACATAAAATAATTTGTATTTACAGTGTTCCTTCCTATTTAAAGGAAGTGAAGATGATAGAATTTACAATCTAGTACTATTCTGCAAGAAGCCTTTACAGGATAAATATGTGGACTGCAATTAAGAAAAAAGCTTTTGTTGCTGAACCAAAGATTTAACAGAAGATCAGTTTAAAAAGCTTTTTCTACTGAATTGTTTGCCTTTTTGGTCAAACCTAATTGAATTTTGTGCCCAAATTACCTAAAAAAGAGACATATACAGTGGGCTAAATCACTAATTTGCTTACTACTTCACCAACAAACTGCTTAAGAGTATGACTTTATGAGCCCTAAGTTGTATAGGAATTTTTCTGATCTTGATTTGAACAGATTTCCTAGGGAAAACCTTCCACTTTCTTGAGGAGGTGATTTCGAGTACTCGTCTTCTTTTACTTGGAGAATCGTCAGCCCAATCTCTTTCCGAACTGCTTCAATTGTTTCGGGTTTCACTGGATTTCCTGAGGAATCCATCACGTAGAATACGTTCACAGCTTGAGACCCTCGAGTAGTTACCTCAGCTCGGGTGACTGACAGGCCATTCTCTCTGAATATTCGCGTTACATCAGTGAGCAGCCCAATTCTATCATCACTACATAGTTCCAATCTTATACCCTGCACAAGAAGGTATTCAATTCGATATTTCCTTAGCACAAGGCAGGAAAAAAGTGAGGGTAAGGGAAACAGGACGTGGTATAAACTCTTACCTCAGAAGTTCGTCTACTTATGGCAGCCTCTAGGCAATTTATTAGCCGTTGCCTCTCTGCTTCTGAGCTAATAGGGCATCCATCAGTGTGCCTAATGTAATATTCCTGTTGAATGAAGGGAATTCGATATAATGCCCAATAAATTAAACAAAAATCATAAGCAAAATAATGATCTTCGTAACAAAGAACATGTCACACAAATTACCTGACTAGCTTCTGGGCTTTCGGCTATGAGAGTGGCATGGTAAACCACATACTGCATATCTGTCAAAGTGCAAACTGTATCGAAAAGCAGTTTGGGTCTATCAGGACAGCGCAAGTTTACAACGGTGTACCCCCTCTCCAAGCAATTATCCACAGTTACAAGTGGTTTTATAGGGTGACCAGACCCAGGATTTACACCAGTCAAGTTCATCATATCGTAATCACGGTCTGCATACATCATCTGATGTAACCTCCTCTCAGTATGAGTGCCTCCAACTGAGACTAAAGTATTAGTAGTCCTTTTGTTACGATCCTCCATAAGCACTGCTAGCAATAGGTTTTCAATCTTAGTAAGATGATCAGGATCATAGATAGCCGACCCTGTTGCTTCATCAGTGATATACACAACTGATGCCATTCTTGAACTGTGGGTCCAGACTTCGGCTGCCACCACGTTGCATTTATGGTCTGTGAGGACCGCAAAGATCTCTGAGAGCAAGCCTGGCCTATCCCTTCCTGTCAGCTCAATGGTTGTGTGCTCCACAGCAGCTTGCACGCCCACAGATCTCCTTGATCGAAAGCTACGTGCTCTTGGCCCTAGTGACTGTCATGTTACAATCAGTTAGCTACTTGAAGATGAGGACTAGAATTCAATAAGGGGACCAGCAAAATACTTAGAAATGTTTTGGTGCATATACTCCGTACAACTTATGCTATAATGATATATCGACTCTTCAACTTAGATTAGAACTAAAAAAAAAACCCATTTTGAATACTTGATACTCCGACATGCTCACGGGCACTATACATTTCAACTAGGTCGTATAACACATAAATTCCAGAAATCCTCATTAAATTGACAATGACAGGACAACATGTTACTTGTACAAATTTTGCAAAAATAAAGTAGTGTATTTTTCTTGAATCTTTGAATATATGGTTTTCCCCACAAAAGATTGGAAACATACTGGTACAGTAGTACATGGTCCAAATTGTAGGACACAATCATGTGGAAAAATGGCTAATTTAGCCAAGAATGTGGGAACACCACACACTTTGTCCACTGCATTCAAGTGATTCAACTATTCTCCTTCAACCCACAACACCCCCAAAAAAAAAAAAAAAAAAAGCTGTACTATATTTTCACAAAGCAGGCTACTCAGTGCTGAACCCTACACAAATCACATCCAACCAAAAAAAAACACAGTTCACATGCAACCCACTGAAGATAAAAATTTACTAGCTGGAATTCAGACTTGTAAAACCTTTTAACCCCTTAATTAGGAGAAGAAGGGCTCCACCATTATTCCAATTATTGAACACAAACTTTGCATCATGTGAAACTGAACCCAAAACCTCCATTTGGGACCATAAACCATAAACCCAACCTTCATTTCTACACGTACTATACGAGGTAAATAGTTGTCACATTCAATACTGTAAGTTGCTAGAATTATTTTTGGCACTCCCTTTGTGAGAACACAATTAATTATGCTACTTTCACAAAGAGGATTATCAAAGTCAGTTTCCACAAGTTGCACTAGTAACGTGACAATTAAATCGAGTCCATGCATTAATAAACCATGCACTACTACAGTACTCCGTATAAGCTATTAGTAGCAAATAAAAAAGTTACACTAGTCTACTATGGAGTGACCTAGTTATAGTTTTACTTTTACAAAGTACATGTTACTGATTATTTGGATATCTAGGCAATTCAATGTCTACTACAGTACTCTTCATGTTCAATTTTCATTCATCCTACACAACATATCATTCATCCTATCAAAATGACTCTTTAAAAGTGGCTCAATTTCCACGATAAAATTACCTGTTGAATTTTTTCTGCTACGTCATCTTGATATAGCTTATTCCCATGTTGATCCGTGACATGAAACACTATAAATCAAAAAATAATTATAATTAGATAAAATTTTAATCAATTTAGATAAAATGTTAATACAAGTATAAAATTAGCATCATAATTAATCACTAACCATCCATAAACCACTCTCCATCTGAAGAAATATAAGCCCTTCTGATGATTAGGTTCATGTCATTTAGAACTTGAACTACCTCCAACAAACTACCCCTCTTATTAGCACTATCTACCTACAAAATCCCAACAACACCACCAAAAAAAATTAATGAGAAAATTGATAAATTTTAAGAAAATCCAATTGAATTTCAATAAAAAGTGAGGAATTACCTTAATCAAAGTGGCATTTCTACTTGATGAATTATCCACCGTAACCCTGAAATCAGCAAACAAGAATATTTAAAACCCAAATTCATCAATTCGACCATTTCTTGAGAAAATAAATTCAACCCATTTCAATTTAAAACCCCAAAAATCAATCAAATTTGATCATTTCTTAAAGAAAATGAATCAAATCCATTTCAATTTAACACCCCAAATCAATCAAATTTGATCATTTCTTGAGAAAGTCAATTAAACCCAATTCAATTCAACACAAAAAAAATCCAAAATTCAATCGAATTCACTAATTACCCGAGAAATTGAATTCAACCCATCTCAATTAAAGCACAAAAAACTCATAAAATCAAAAGGAAAAAGATAAAACCTTGGTGGGTTCATACGCAAGACCAACTTTTGAAATTCCTCGTCCACCTTAAGAGAAGACGTCCAAAATTCCATTTGTAAAACTACTTCAGAAAAAAAAACCCACCAAACAATTAGAAAAACTAAATGGAACAAATATGAATTTTGAGTTGCTCTGTTTTAGGTACTCTGTTATATCTCCTCTGTTTTTTTTTTCTACCCAAATTTTTAATCTTTTACTGAGAGTGTGTATAAGTGAGTATAATTTTCCTTTATTGTTTAATTTTTCCGAGGTGGGTGAAGAGTAGAGTTTGTGTGAGAGAGGAGAGAGAAAGAAGGGGTGTTTGGCTTTTGAGTTTGGCGAAGAGTTTTGGGAAAAAATTGTAATTAAAACAAAGAAAATAGGAGGAGAGAGAAAAATGAGAGCCAAAGAGAGGGAGACCGGAGACGCATCCAAGCTTGTTGCTGGTTAAAAAAAGAGGGACCCACAATCCTACAATCTTTGATAGAGTACTCATATAATAACACTTGGTCTTTGTTTCTTTGATTTATGTGAAAATTACAATGCTCCTCATGCCTTCTATCAAGGCGGCTTCTCTCATCATTAGTCAATTCTTCCATTCTTTTCTCCCTATTCACATTCTTTCAACACCCCCCAATTTAATAGATTAGTGGTTATCTAGCCAATGCTAAGATCACCCAAAAAAAAAAAAAATATTTTGTAGGTTTTTATTTCACTTAAAAAAAATAAATAAATAAAATAACCGTGAATAAAAAAAGTTATGTTTTATTTAGATAAACCGTTATTATTTATGGGTTGTTTTTACAAGTAATTGAACTTGATTAGGTCAATAGGGTAAGGCTCATTCTAATAAGGAGTGCAAGAAATCCGTAACGAAACCATAACGGTTCAGTATTCATTATATGAAACGTGAAAAGTAGGGTGATGATCCAAACATTACTTCGTCGTTACCATAGGTTCATTAGTGTTGGGATTTGAGAAGTAATAATTCTCCTGTTTAGTGTCATTCACTTATGCATAAATGTATACGTATGTGTAACTATTGATAATTTTTCAGCTTTTCACATTATTGATTTGATTCATATTTTGATATATTGTGATTTCTACCATATTATACGATAGGATTAAATTTTTCATAGGTCATGCATACATGTATTGATTTATGAAATTTCAATATCTGTTCATTGAGATTGTTATTATATATAATTATTTCAGTATGATATTGTTATCTATGTTGTCTATATATAATCATTTTAGTATGTGTGGAATATCCAACTGTGACAACCTAATGTGAATAATATCAATCAATTTGTTAATGTGGAATTTAGACCTGACAATTCTGATATGGACCTGATTATCCGACCCAAATTGACTCGAAAATAATGACCTAAATTGACCTTAAACCCGGAATTTACTAGGCCCATACCCCGAATCGAAGTGGAATTGGTCCGATACTCGAAGTGACCTGATTTGACTATACTAGACCCGAAGTTGACCTGACACCCTAAGTATCCCGACTCAAAATCGACCCATCACCTGAACTTAACCCATTATCTGAAGTGACCCAAACCAATTTTAACCCGAATTAATTGACTAGAACAAACTTGATACCCGAAGTGACCCGAACTAAAATTACCTATACCCGAAATGAGTCAAACAAAAAATACATGATTATGCTCATACCCAAAATGATCAAACCGATTTAAGCCCGGATTACTTCACCCAAACAGACCCAAATCGAAAATAAGCAGAACCTAAACAATCTTGTGTGTTCTTGTTTGAATTGTCACAATGAATAATTTATTAGTATTCAATTTTTATAAATTTTACTTATAATTATAATACGTCCTCCATTTTTTTAGATGCATTACTTTCTATATTTCAAAGTTTCAATTTAAATGCATCACTTTCCTTTTTGGTTTATAAATTCTCTCTCTCTCGTATCACATGGCCCCACTTTTTTTTTTTCTTTGTCTCTTTCAACTCCAAAAATTACCTAGAAGTTGGTAATTTAAAAGTGATGTATCTAATAAAAAACAGAGGAAGTATATTATTGATCAAATTCATCGACGACATACATTTCTAGTCAAAATAAAGAACTTAAAGGAAAGCATAGGGAGTATTTTAGTTTACAATAATAAATTTACCGGTTTGAACTTGACCCGTAGTATTGACCCGAAATGGAACGATTTGAACATGACCTGACCCGATCCGATCTTGACGAAACCAAAACATGACCTGGCATATGGACACCGAAATCGACCCGACTCAAAACGACATGTCCTGAACTATTGATGTTAATTTAAATTTAAATGACAAAGTGAAATAAACAAACTATTATTAACAGACGACACAAAATATATCATAGTTTTTTATTTTAATCTCAACAACCCATTTGGACGGACTTGTTAGATTAGCCAATTGAATTAGGATCATGGCGACAAAACTTGTGTGGATCTAGTTCACAATAATATTATTGTGAATCTGAGGTCCATAATCGCGCATCGAACATTATATTGATCATGGTACTATTAAGTGAGCAATCCATTAAGCAATTATAAATGAAGAGACAAAATGTAATATCTTAGACCTTATTAAGCTAACATTGTACTTTGTATCCAATTATCTTACAAAAAAAAAAAAAAAATATAGATAAAATGAATTTACAAAATATGAGCTCAAAATACTGAATATATGAATTCATCTACAACTAAAATAAATTCAAATATTTCCTCAAAAATAAATAAATAAATTCAAATTTATTATTTTGATAAAGTTTAAATAAGTAAAAATCAATTAAATTAAACGAACCCTTTAACCTTGATAAATTGTACATACAAATGTATAGTATATCCATATGAAATCTAATACTAGTGTTGAAATAATACACCCTCTATCCAATAATTTCTCCTCAAAATAATTAGTAGTAACATCTATCTTTGTCCGACTTTATCCATTCCAACTTTCTTCCATTCATATAATTACATCACGTTTAATTCGCCCATTTTGCGTCTTCACTTTTGCTCGTACATGGCGTACATGCATGTAATATTAGAATTCTTTTTGTAAATGCCAACAAATTATCAAAGTTCCAAGAAACGAAACATTATTTTGTTTATAAAAAAAATAAATAAAAAGAATTTGTCGACTTTTGTTTGTTGTATTCTCACCCATTATTTTTATCGAAGAAAATCTAATTGAATCTTCTAGCTTTACCATTGGTATCAAGAGTAGAGTGGGTACCTCTTGTCTTTACTTATTCTCTTTCCAAATCGAGCAGGATTCTGCCTTGCTTAAAGCCTGATTCTTTTTACTAAATGCCTTTTAAATTTTTTAACCATTGAGGGTTGGTGTAGTTGCCAATTAAAATATTCTATTTTTTTTTAAGTGTTACACTTTGGGCGATACATAATGTTAGATAATTTAATTAATTCATATAAAATAAGATGTACTTCGTAAAAGTGGGGTAGTTGGAGTATTAAAAAAATTGTAAAAGAAATATAGTAAGGTTGATAGTTTATTAAAAAAAGTAATGAATGTACAAGAGGTAGAAAAATAGTAACGGGTGTGGGTGGAGACCATAAGAGGAGAAAGATTAATATTAAAATGTAGATTTTTGCAAAAAATAAAGTGTAACGCCTAATAATTTGTCGTAATTATTACTTACCCATGTTGCCGTACTTCGTAAGTGTATCACTTACCACAAAAAAAAAAAAAAAAAAAGGGTGAGTACCATAATTTGTCGCAGGTTTAAATGTCTCTTTCCCCATTAGTCTCTAATTAGTAATGTCTTTCGGCTCGTTTAGGAATAATGAAAAGAAAAAAAAGTTTTATTTTTTTATTTTTTTTATATATATATATTATTATTTATAATTTAATAAAATAATCTTTAGGGATACGCCATATGTTCCATATTCTTTCCTTTCTATTCAATTAAGGAGTATAAAATTGTTTCAACTTTGCAAGCAATAATTATGATTAAGGAGGCCCCATTGCTCATGATCTAATGATGAAAGTTGTACAAGTACATAATTTAGGAACTATATATAGCATCACTTTGGAGGAAATAGATTTACAATTGCTTAATAGTCCAGCAACATCCCGAGTCCCGACCGGTATTTTTTCTGATGAGTATCATTCACAGTTTCACACAGTGGTCTAATTGTGTGCACCATATAGTACTAAACTGGTTTCAGGCTTATTAGATGAAACCAATTATCACATTTAATTTTTTATTGTTAGTTAATCAAAGGACACCGATCGTCCTGCTATCTATTACTGTAACATTTTCTAGATCATAGCTTAATTACATCTTTACATAATTACATGCCATCTTAGTCCTTGATATGGTCAAATAATAAGAAAATTCATGTAAATACTTATAAGAAGATAGGAATCTTCCATTATTAAGATTAGTAACCTCCAATTTACCTATAAGGATTAATTTTATCTGCAATACAATTGGTTAGGTCATAAAAAGTGCGATAGAGGATGTGTTATTCAGAGTCGGTTACTCACGTCTGACACGAGTACATGTCCAAATATCTTGAATTGTTTTTGTTAACTTTTCCAAAATTTCAGCAAACAATGAAGTGACTAAATTTCCGTACTCATGTGGGAGTGAAGAGAATCCGACATGTATGATCGATATTTAATGAAGAGTATGAGTAATATCGAAAATAGGATTATATTATGTTTTGTGCCATTGTGAGGAGTCAAACGTTGCATCTTATGAAAAAGTGTAGCGAAGTAACATAGACTGCTAGCTTAGAAAGTAGAAACTTAAGGCTATATAAAATCTCCATCGTATAGATTAATGCATACTTCCAAATCTAAACTCACTATATACGAAGTATTAAAATTAAAGGCGTTCATAAACAAGCCTACATGTCACGTGGCGTACACCTCAAGTAATCAAGTCTTTCATTGCATGTGTTTAAAAATATGGATTATACAAGATTTGAACCTACTACAACCTTAAATTTTAAAACAAAAGGTATTATCCATTAAGCTATCACCATATAATATGTCATCCTACCAATTTTAAATATAAATAAAGATTTCAATCATGAAATTAATGCGGTAGTTCAGGGCATCATCCGGACCTATGCTAAAAACTAGTTACATTTGATATCAATGCATGTCAGATCGGTCTTCTCATTACAGTACTTCTTCAAACATGAATGAATGTGAGAATAGCTAGAAAAAGTAAAGACAAGCTGAATTTTTATGTTATAGAAATTAAAAGATAACAAAGAATTTCCAAAAGAAAATTACTTTTCATGGCAACATTAAAATGTACTCCGTAGCTTTAAATGACATTGTAACTAGCTAGTTCAAGTGTTCAACCACAAGTGCAAGTAGGGTGTACAACAGTACAATGTACAATAATGTACTCACATTCTCAACTTCGTCATGGTGAATTGAGTACCTGTACTATTCCCTATTCGATCTGTTCATATTAATTAGGAATTCAATATCCTCATTTTATGTCAAA